GAGATGCAATTTTTATGACATTTCATTTGCATGCCACGCAGCAGAGGCAGAAGTAGATGTTGCAGAGGCACGAGCAGCAGAGCTTGCAACAGCAAAAAGAAATTAAACACAACACAGCGTCAGGGGAGCTGCTCCTCGCTGCTCGGTGTGCCCCCTGCTGTGGGGGGCAAGTGTGGTTCCGGGGGGCCGCCATTTTAGTATGCACACAGAATTGTTAACAATATGGCGCCTCCGCCTCCGCCTCCGCATCGCTCGCCATACTTTGTCGCTGCTTCACACCGCCGCACCGCGCCGCACCGCACCGCACCGCTGCTCCACCGACCACCCACCCAACTCCTTCCATTTGCCTTCCTCCATTTGCCATTTGCCTTTTCCTTGATCTTCACTTCGGGGCTGCCACACTGGGGGGTATCCACGGCTGCAGAGAGCGCTTGCCCCACAGCCTCTACACGGTATCGAAGCACTCCATTCCATTCCATTCCATTCAATGGCATGCCATTCAATGGCTGGGCCGCCACCACAAGTACCATTCGAGGGTATCCGCCCAGTCGGCACGTGTTCTGCTCTCTCTGTCTTACTCTCTCTCCGCACAACTGTATTTGTATTTTTGTGTATATTTTTTTAATTAATTCTGTTTTGAGCAATTAGTTTTGATGCGTTGCATTTAAAATTAATTGCAGCAGCAGCAGCAACAGCAGCAGCAACAGCAGCGGCAGCAGCAGCGTTAATTGGCTGCAATCTACCCACCCCACCCCACCCCACCCGTCCAGCCGCTGCTGCTCCCGCCAATCCACACCGATATGCAGTACTGCACAGTGCTATGCATACATGGGCTTAGGCGTCGCCATAAATCAACTGTAAAGTGTGCAAAAATGTGGCTCATTAAAGCTTAATTTGTTGCGAACTGTCGAAGGGACTTTTCCTCACTCCTTTTTCTTGTGTTTCCCCTTTTTCTTCATTATCCGCTGGGACTCCACTCAAACAAAGACTTATAATGGCTTGAGAGGTTCGATTACCGTGTGGGAGTGGGTATCCCAGCTTATGCCCAATTGTTGGATATTCCCAGGCAACTGCAGCTAACACCAATATCCCATTTATGCCACGATTGAACCCCATGTGAAGTTAACGCAGACTTTAAGCACTGGCCTCTGCATCTGCAGCTCTGCATCGGAAATAGATACTCAGCACACAAAAGAGTTCTTTCCGCAGCTGAATGCTGGACTTTTGGGTCACTGGTGGGTGCTGCTGCCTCCCATATAATCCCTTTGGGCCCTGCCCATCTTCTGCTGCATTCATTCAACTGTTGTCTCCTCAACCCCCCACCCCCACATATCTTTTGTGTGCTCATTAAAATTTCTTTCTGCTTCTTATGGCCAGGCAGCAGGCATTGACAAGGTAACCAGAGTCCATGGCATGTAATGGGATGCCCATTCTTGCTTGCTTCCTTCCTTCTATACTTCCTTCCTTCCTTCCTTCCATACTTCCTTCTAATTTCACAAAAACCATTGTCATCCGTGGCGTATGCGTAATATCAAATAAAGATGCTCTGCACGTGCCCGTGTCTGTGCCTGTGTGTGTGTATGTGTGTGTGTGTGTGTGTTTGCCTGTGTGTGAGTCGTCCCCTGTATTTGCTAATTAGAGTACGCTTGCGGTTTTCCATTACAAAATGTCATAAATACCCCTAACGTACGTAAACCCTCGACCCCAGCTCTTTCCCCACCAGCCACACGGCTGCAGCACACAGGGAGGGAACAGGGGGGTCTGTGGTCTTGGCTACCGAGTGTTCACTGTGGCCCACCCACCCCACCCCTGGCCTTTGTCACCCTCTGCCATTGGTGTGGCTGCTGCGGTGGCGCTGGCAAAAAAACTATTGCCTATTTATATGGGCCCTGGTCCTGGTCTGGAGCACTGCAAAAGGGTCTTGTGTAATCCAGCCAATAGGGCGACAGAGACTGGGAGGGGGGCGGGGGACCCAACAACGTTGGGTTTACCTCCTCGGGGAGCTTGTGGCTGCATGTAGCATGCAGCATGCAGCTTGTCTTTCATTATCTCGATTGTGGGTTCCAATGCTTAAATCATTTGCATTGCTCCTTGCCACACCACACCGAAAAAGCAAGCATTTTCCCCTATGAAAATTTCCCTCTGACAGCAAATAGGAGACCCACAGAACGCAGGTAAATGGAAAATGCTGAGGCAAAGGAGTGGAGTGGCAGGTTGGTGCCTGCTGTCGATCAGCATATCAGTTGGCCACATAATTGGAGCACTCAGCACTGTCTGTGCAGGACTCGCTAATGCCAAGACAGCAGGGCTCCTTGGGGAATGGGGGGGCTCAAAGCGGAGTGTAATAATTACAATAATTGTATTATTTATTCCATTTGCTTTGTTTGCCATTTGCTGTTGCTGGTGGATAAATGTATATGCTGTTTGGTCTGTGGTCTGTAGTCTGTGCGGTGTAATCTTTCGCAACTTTGGCACACAATAAATGCAAATCTTTGTGCTGCAAATGGCAGAGCAGAAATCTGTTTACTTTTGCTTGCACCTTGCACCCTGCACCCTGCACCTTTGTTGTGTGCTTCAAACTTAAACTTTGCTCTGGTGTTTGCCTGTGTCTGGCATGGCCAGTGCACTTTAATGGCCATAGATTTATGCCAGACTGATTGGCTGGCTGATCGGCTGACCACTGGGCGTTGTTGTGGGCTTTGCATTTGTGGCTTCGGTGCTTTGTCGTTGCGTTGCACAAGTGGCGAGAAATTGCTGCAGGTATTTATTCTAAAATTCGGCGAAGTTAATGCAGTCATCCCAGGGGTTCCATGGGGTTCGTTGCTACAAAAAGTGACCCGTATAAATGTGCATATACATATTTTTAAATGCTCTTATTTGCATGCAGTTTGTCTGCTTTCATATAGGTAGATACTCCGCTTAGGCTTATCCTGGAATAGGTAGGGAGAAAGAAGTTCATTCATTTCATTCAGAATTCTTTGAGTTTGGGCTTCCTCCGAGTGTTCCCCTCTCGTTTGTCCCCAAACAAACGCCACACATTCACGCACTCCCCTCCATTTCTACGCATGTTACATGCCCCGAGGGCGCGCTCCTTTTATGCCTCGTACTCGAAGGGTAGACAGGGGTATGAGGCCAGGAGTACCAGGAGTACCATGTGATTTTCTGCTTAGTTTTCGCTGCCTGCGCGCACTCCATTCGGGTCCATTTGAGGGTATCTTTGGGTCGAAATATTAGGCTCTGTGCTGCGTTTTACTTGGTGTTTGCTGCTGTCTGCTCTGCTGCTGTTTGCATTTGGCGATGCCCCGTGCAGCTGCGACGCTGCCTTGACCCCCAGCGAGGACGCAGCTTTAGGCGGCCCAGTGGCATAATCAACTCGGCCGGCCATCTACAGCACACCGACATATCGATACTCACATATAATGGCAGGCATTATAGTTCTAAGTCCACGTGCCAATGGCTCTTTCAACATTTATCGGTGCGCTATATGCACACGCTATATTGATGGTCCCGTCCCGTCCCCGATTTGCATGCACGACTGAGCATTGGGCAATGTTTTGTGCGGACGAGTGACGAGTGTTATTTAATTACGCACCAAACGAAATTCTATTGAATTTCCATCAGGCGCTTGGCGCTGGACTGGGGCTGTACGAAGAAGGGCTCTGATATGCACTAACACGCACAACAGACCCCCTGCAACCCCCCCCCCTAGCCACCCCCGATCACACATACACTGACAGAAATTAAATGTGCTACAAATTAAAAGAATTTCGATGAGGATAGGAGGGAAACTTGATGGTTTCCTGTGGCTATAGCCTTGATTTCGCTGGTGTTCTCCGTGTGCAGTTGGGGGCAGCTGGGAGCTGACTTCTTGCTGCCCGCCACAGAGAGCAGAGAGGGAGGGAGGGAGGGAGAGAGCAAACACATTTTGTTATACAAAATAAACAAATCAAATTAGAATTAATGTTGAATAATTAGTCCAAACATAACGCATTGGGGCATTTATGATTGCGATAGGCGGACCAAGAGAGAGTTCAACACACGAGACGGGGCAAGCGGCAAGTGGCAAGTTGCAAGTGGCATGTGGCATGCATAATGTCTCTGTGTGGGTGTGTCCTGTGTGTCCAGTGTGTCCAGTGTGTGTGTGTGGCATGCAAGTGGTTTGTTTGTTAAACATGTAATTTGATTTTGAGTTCTCGCTGCCGCAGGGAGGCGTTTGAGCAAGAAACGGCCCTCCGGTGCCATATTGGAGGCAGTGAGGCAAGCAGGCAGTGAAGCAGGGAGGCAAGCAAGCAGTGAGGCAAGCAGGCAGTGAGGCAAGCAGGCGGACAAGCTTCAACGTTGCAGTGCGTAGCTAAAGGATAAAGTCTGCCAAAATATGCCACAACCGAACACATCGTTGCCCTGGAGACACAGATCCGATTTGCTCATTAAAACGAAAACCCATTGAGAGCGACGCAGGCACTCGAAACTTGCAGAAATTACCAAAATATTTCACTCATCGCTTCGCTTCGCTGCGTCAAAGGCAAGACAATACTCGTGCACCTGATCCTACTTATGCCATGTGCCAGCAGATTATTTTCATGCATTAGTGCAGGCTCTTTGTCGAAAATATCTAAGGCTATTATCGGCTTGCAGTGCTGGAAACGCGAAACGAAAGTCGTGTCGAAGGTCCCCCGCCCCCGCTGGTATTATGCAAACTGAAGCATCCGCGCATGTGGCAGATAATTAACTGGAGAATTTTCTCTAATTAAAATTTTGCCCGTTTAACAGAAGAACAGAAGAAGATGCTCGAGAGCCTTGTGTGGATCGTGAGAGTGCGCTAACAGTGCGCTAACAGTGCGCTGTAACTGGCAGCGCCCAAAGGCTGTTAACGGAAGGCAGTAACAGGTTGTTAAGGCAGAATGGTAACAGGCTGTTAAAGCAAAGTGTTAACAGCGCTACTTAACAGAAGGAATGTCAGCAAGGTATATGTATCGTTTTGAACTGATTAAATAATTGAATAATGAAAAAAATATTTAATTAAAATAGGAAAAAATGTCAAACCTTAAAGCCCGCTGCCTCACAACACTGATTGTTGTTCATTCGAGGGTTCCTCAAGCAAGTCCACATGGCTGTGGCTCTGGTTACGGCTTTGGCTACGGCTCTGCTGCTCGCTCTGTTCCTGGCTCTCCAGTGCCGGCGCCTCCTGCTCAACGTCCTCCCAGCGGCTTCTGCGCACGCCGCCCCTTGCCATCCTGCCAAACGGCGTGTAGAAGCGGGAATGCTGCCACTGCATGTGCACCAGATAGGAGTAGGCCACCAGCTCAAAATACAGGCCCAGAACTGCAAGCGAAAGTCTATTAGGAGGGCCACCAGCTGGCGAATGCGGATCCTACCCAACAGCAGGGAGAGCAAAATTATTTCGAAGTAGCAGTAGTAGCAACTTCTCAGGGCATGCTGCACGACGAAGATGGGGCACAGCAGCAGGTGCAGCGCATTCGCGAACAGGTAGATCCGCACCAGGCACTGCCACTCCTGCAAGTCAGAGGTGAATCTGTGAATCAGACTCTCTTTGGGCGGGGGGCCAATGGGGGGGCCGTACCAGGACTGTGCCCACCAGCAGCATGGCCGATCCGATGAGGTACGCCAGGTAGCCGAGACGACCCAAATACAGCAGCAGATTACCTGAGGGGGGGTATGGGTGTGGTATCAAGGTATGGCACCCCGCCTGCAGTCAAATTACTTTCACCAAAGAGCAGGCACAGCGCCGAGGTGCACATCTCAAAGATGCCCATGAAGCAGCAGCCCACACGCAGATCCACACAGCAGCAGCAGACCGGCAGGCTGTGACGCAGCCGCTTCTTGTGCCGCTCGTAGTCCGGTGGTAGCCCCTGCTGCCCCTGCTGCTGCTCCTGCTGCTCCTCGATGTCACTGAATGAGTACGGGGGCGTGGCTGGCTCCTCCTGCGCCGCGTCGATGAAGGAGTACTGGGGCGTCGTTTGGGTCTCGGCCTCCGTCACGAGCTGCGCACCGCAACCAGGCTGCGGCGCCACTGGGGGTGTCCCGCCTTCCCCGCTTCTGGCCATGATAATACACCCAAATAATGTGCCCAAGAAAGAGACTTCTTTTCGGTTGTTTGAATTTTGTTTTTTTGATTTTTAAGCGCACAGAATTTTCGGCCTGCTTTCTGTTGCTTGTCAGAATTAAACGAAGGACTTTGCATCTGCCGCACTATATATCCCCCCCCCGAAAAGGTAAGCGTTCCTCCCTTACCCTTGTTCTCTTTTGCCTTAAAATCACTTTGAAAAAGTTGCTGCCTGCTGTTGTTGCCTTTGGCTGCATTTGGCCAGAAATTCTTGTCACATTTTGCAACATTTGGTGGTGCAGGCACAGTGCAGGGAGGGGGGTGAGGGGAGTGTAATGGAAGATATAGTGCCACAAAACCCGTAACCCTAGCAATAACCCATGCCTGTGCCACTGCACCCTGCCCCTGCCACTGCCACTGCTCCTGTTCCTGTTCCTTGCACAACTTCCGACATGCACTCAATGCTCTGGCCCTTGATGATGATGTTGCTCCAACTTCTGTGTGGATTGCGGACTGGCCCGGACTGCTGATGACCACAGGACATACACCCACACACCCACACACTTGACAGGCGCCACACAGCACTCACCCTGTCCCTCTCCATGCCACTGCCCCCCTAGAACCATCTGCAGCAGCGTGCCACAAGCTCGGCTTGCACGGCGCCCTAACTCTTTTGCATCCATCTTAAAATCTACTGCCCCCCACCACCCCACCCACCCCCTGCCAGGCTGCCTCCTCCTATCAATTCAAACAATGTGACCAAGTGCGTGGCAAAGTTCTTCCACATTTGGACAACTTTCAACGGACTCCTGCCTGCACCCTGCACCCTGCTCTCGATTCGTGCAGAGTGGTCTCATATGCTGTGTCCTGTCCATCGTCCTGTGCCTGTGTGCCTGTGTGCCTGTGTTTGAGTCCTGGAAGGAGCGGCCCAGCAGGAGAAAGCTGATCAAAATTATTTGAAGCTTTTGCAATTTTTGTAATTAAGCGAACAAAGCCAAACATTTTCTCAGGCATTTTCCCCATTCAACCAGCAGGAGGCAGCAGGCAGGAGGCAGATGGCAGCGGTGGGTGCTGCATGTGGCAGCTGATAGTGTCAGTTTTATTGTTGCCCCACTGTTACTGCCACTGCCACTGTTACTGCCACTGTTACGCTCTCTCTCTCTCTCTCTGTACGTCTCTGGCACAGTTGTTGCCGGGGAAAAGTTGCCGGACAACTGCAAAAACTGCAGCATGCAAATCGAAAAATAATTACAATTGCGCAAAGTTTTCAAACGAACAGAGAGGAGACAACCAGCCAGCCCACTGCACCCTTCACACCCTTCTGCCCTGTTCTAAGGGGGGAGGAAGTGTCCCCTGATTTCTTTCCGTTTCCGAGAGACAGAGACAAGGACACACAGAGACAGAGACAGAAAAAGAGACAGAAACAGAGACAGAGAAGCAGCAGGAAAGGGAGAGAATGCCCTGAGATGCGAGTCCACATGTGTGAAACGGGAAGAATCTGTGCCAAAGAAGGGTAACAGGAGGCACAGCAGCCACAGTGGGTGCTACAAAGGAGTAGAAAGGAGCAAGGAAGCAAAAGGACATCAAAGGGTATCAGGTAATGGCAAAAGTTCCACTGAAAGAAAATTCAGGCATGGGCATTCGGGGCAGCAGCTCTAACAGGCCCTAAACAGCGCTGTTAACAGCGCAAGCTAACAGCCTGTTACCGTACAGTCGTTAACAGTCTGTGGAGCTGGCTGATATGCAGACCTCTGTTATCCCCACAATATACTCAGCATATTAATGAAACTTTCTTAACTTATGCCTAAAAGCATTATCTTTCAATCGCATATAGTTCAGAGCAATGCACTGCACTTATTCTTGTGGCTTCCATTAAAAGCGAATATTCTGGTTCCGAAATATGCATATTTTCTGGAGACTCTCTTGCGGGGCCATTGCATGCCGCTGCACAAGCTTTCTCAATGATTCAAGTTCTCTTCTTACTTCGTATTATGATATAGTTTGCAGTGTAGCAGCATTTTTGTTGCAGTGTAGCAGGGAGCAGGATTTTCTGAGTAGGATGTGTCCCTCAGGTGCGCATTGCGTAGGATGCTTTGCCAGTGCATTTTGTGGGGGTGGCTACCCCCCTCCCACCACTGCCAATGCTGAATTTCGCATTAGACATACATTCAAAACTGTTATTGTCCCCATCTCTCTCTCCATCTCTCTCTCACTCTGTCTCTTTGTGTCCCGTGGCAGAGGAAAACTTTGAAAACTCATTCAGTGTCATGTAGATTTTTGCGTATTTTTACTGGTCCCCCACCCCCACCCCTCCCTCTGATAAAAAAAATAATTGTTGCCTAACTTTGTGCCCAAGCTCATAAAACTGTGCCCCTGCCTCCAAGCCCCCAAGCCTCCTCGTGCTCCTTCCTGGACCCATTATTCGGGATCTCCTCTACTCCCGGGGCCCATTATCCGTGGCAACACCCCCCAGGCCCTCCAGGCAGCTGCAAGTCGCCACTCGGCAGTCGCCACTCGGCAGTCGACAGTCGGCAGTTATCCCAGTGTTGGTGGCATTTTAAAACTATTGTTCATTTCAAGCATCAAGAAACTTGCCAAATTGTTGCTGAAGCGCCTGTCGAAACTTTTTAATTTTGACGCCCCGGCAGGTGGTGTGTAGCCCTGACCCAATGCCACTGTCACAGGCAGGGTGGCTGGTGCATACCTTAGGGCACTAAATGCTGGATCATTGAGCGATGCCTATTTTTACCCAAAAAAATTCACTGATCTTCACTGATCGATGGATGGGCAATCCTTTTGCTGACTTTACTTTTAAATATTATTTTTATATCACTATTTCGATCATTATTGGACGGATATTATTGGCAGCGAGCCTGAAGCCAAGGAGTTCCATGTGGGCAGCCACAGACAGCCAGTAACAGAGTCTGTAAAGTTAACAGAGATGAAGCGACTGCAGAACGAACAGAGCTAACAGAGAGAGAGGAGCAAAGAGCAAAGAGAGTCCACGCCTCAGTTCGATGACAAACCGGTGATATCGGTGATCGGTTTTCGGTGATAAATAATTTTAAAACAATCCGATTTATGCCAGCAAATTATGTGCACCTTTTCCGCCTATTCCAAAACTAAATAAATTAATTAATTAATTTTGTTTTTGATTATTTTTTTGATTTTTGGGTTACCTTTCCTGGCCCTGTGGATTTTTTTTCCAAGTAAAAGTGCCAGCCCAGCACCTTTTAATCATTCGATTGCAAGTTAATATCGCGCACAATCTGGAGACTAATCTCATTTGGGTTTCCATTTCGTGCTTCACGGACATTGCTCATACGCACCATTAGCCAGAGCGAAAAAGAGCAGAGAGTGGGTAGTGGGTAGTGGAGAGTCGAGAGTCGAGAGTGCCACCCACTGTGGCTCACTTGTACCGACCCCATGCCCCATTGTACAATGGACGAAGGCCCAGAGCGAGGCCCAGGCCCAGGCCCAGGCATCGCCTTTGATTCAATTAACTTTGTTTATCGCGCATAATGCATGGATTATCAATATCAATTGACATCAATTTCTGGCCACTGGGGTGGACCAAATTACCAAAAGAATCTTAACAGCATTCCCGGCGTCTGCACAGCGAAAAATGTTTGGACAGCGTTTTTGGTGCTGAGGCATTGAAAAGTTGCCCCTTGTTAATACACTTGCCCAACAGAAAGGTATTTGGCATTTTTGTTGGCAAGTTGAATAGGTTCTGCCATAAATATGGCTGCTGCTTCTGTCCCTCTGATTGAGTTTGAAGTGTAGCCAAAGCTTCGGCTTGGCGCTCAGCCATTCGATGAGTTTTTGCGGCGACTATGGCTGTGGCTGTGGCTGTGGCAGCGGCAGCGGCATTTCAATTAAATCCTCCCCCATCTAATTGAATTGAATGGAAATTGAATTGAACACTGACCAAAGTATGTGTGTGTGTGTGTGTGCCATTTAAAGCTGACCCTGTGACCCATTAAATGTTCACTTATCTCCCTCTCTCTCTCTCTGCTGTCTCTCTGCAGGATCTTGTGCTCTGTTTTGTTGCAAGGCAAAAGAACACAAAAACCAAAGTAATTTTAATTTCAACTTAAGATGTGGATGAAGTTGATTGCTGCTGACATGGCCCAAAGACAGAGACGGAGACAGAGACGGAGACGGAGAAAGCGAGAACTTTTTATATGGCTTTAATTGCCACACACCCACACACACACACCACACACACCACACACACACACACTCAGATAATTAAAAAGTTTTCTTCCGCGCTGCGTAAAGTGAAAAAAAGAAAAAAAATTATTGTTGCCACACCCCTCCCTATCCACCCAGGCAGCGTTCATAGCGGCATAAAGGGGGGGTGGGGCACACAAGAGGATCAGGTTGAGGCAATGTCTTTACAGGGCTTAAGGTGGAGAGAGAGAGAGGGAGAGAGAGCAGTCTCCACGCCGCCGCCAACTTGCCACAATTTATGCATTATTATTTGCCTCTCCCAGCTGCCATTCCCTGTGCACTTTCCACGGTGTGGCAGGGTATGCCGGACTCAGTGGCATTCAGGATCTATTAGTTCGCAGGCTGAAGCAATAATTTGCAGCCAATGGCAGTCCCCGCCGTCACGAAGAATTGGGGCGAGTGCGAATTATAATTTCAAAATATATATATGCTGGAGTGCAGGAGGCATTCGGCTCACAAATGCAGCGGCAGCAGTGTTAATTATTGTATTATTGTACGCCTCAGCCACAAAACATTTGCATTTGGTATGTGGCGTGTGGCGTGTGGCATGTGGTCAGCCAGCAGCCAGGAGCCATGGAGGAGGGGCAAGGCTGTGTGACTGAGACTGAATGCATAATGCAAATTTATCCACAAATATCAAATGGTTAATGCCCGGCGCAGACTTTGTCTCAAGACGTGGCCATAATTGAGTGCTTGCCAGGCACTGTACAGCCACAAGCAGTCGTTGCTGGTACCTGGTGAATGCTGCTGTCAGATGCCTGCCCCTTGTGCAGGTTGCAGGGCGCCTGCCTGCTGTCCCTGAACGTGGGGGGAGCTGCTGCTTCTGTGGGGTCTTTGCTGCTGCTGCTCCTCCTCCTCCTTTGCTCTCTTTCGTTTAAATCTTCTTGGATGTTTGAATTTAATAATTTCCAAGGCTCCTCCGCCTATTCCAATAATTAAAATGTATTTTTTTGGCTACTAAACTTCGCTGACTTAAATTTTTCGACTATTAAAATGACTCGAAAAAAAAGACTCTTTTTTTCAGGGTTTACTATTAAGCTTGTGTCTCTACTCCAGGGTATCGCCTAGTCGATTCAAGTGCCGAAACGGTTGCCATTTCGTTTCATGTTGTTGTGCTTTTTATGGCCGCCCAACCTCCTTCATCCCTCACCTCCTGCGCCAAAAGTAGCCTCCAGAATGAGTGAGAGAAGCAAAAGTCATTTCGCCAAGGTTCACATAATCAAGGCATCTCTCTCTCTCTCTGCTTCTCTCTCCCTCTCTCTCTTTGTCTCTATTTATGTCTATCCTTATCTCATGCTCAGCTTTGGCTCTCAGTCTGATTTCGACACATCAGCGACGACGACGACGACGACGACGACGACGCTGGCAAAGGCAGAACGCTGGCAGAATGTAATTTGTTTTATGGTTTTGTAACCGTTAGTTTTCATGTGCACAAACATATGTCTCTCTGTCTCTCTATCTCTCCCTCTCTCTGGCACTCTCTCAAGTGCAAAATTTATGCAGCACTTCGTCACGTCATGGCCTTATTATTGTTAAAGATTTTGGCGCTGCATTTCCAGTTATTTCCACAAAATAAGTTTTAATTAAAATTAAAATCAAAATCTGTCTGCAACTGCCTTGCTGTCTGTCGCTCTCTCGCTCTCTCTCTCTCTGTTTTTGTCTCTCTGCAATATATTAACTAATTTGCATTGCATCTGAAGACAGTTGGCACCTTCTTGGCATTCTAAATGGGCATTACAACACCTTGCCAGAATGCTAACGATACGTTTAAGGGCGCCCCCCCTTTGCCTCCTTTGGATTGTGAAGTTTTGTGTGGGGCAGGGTGGTGCAGGGTGGCGGGGTGCAGGGGTGGCTGAAACATTTTATTGCCTTCATATTTTCCATGTCCTGAATGTCCCAGACTTCTGTCATAAATTGCACAAGCCTTGCACAAATGAACCATACACCCAGAGGAAGTTCACAGGCAGCCAGCCAGCAAGAGAGAGAGAGTAAGAGAGAGAGAGACTGAGAGAGAGCCAGTGATAGGGACAGACTTTTGTGAGCACACACCGATGCGCACACATACTCGTACACCATTTGAATAACTCACAAAAATGCACATTTATCGCATAATTCTGTCGTACATCAGGACGGCCAAGGGGACACACGCAGCACCCCACCCCACCCCACCCCACCCTGCCAGCCGCATCTCTCCGTAGCAGCAACGAGCATATCTTTATTTTGTGTGGTTCGTGCAGGTTTTTTCATACAGGTTCCAATACGCATTCATGGGGCTGCTGTGACACCAGCGATACACCATTGCCAACGATGCTTAAGCTTTGCCATTCGCTTCATTTCCATTGCACACAATGCCCAACGAGCAATATGAATTAATTGCAGCAGTGGGGGGGGTGGAGAGAATTGAAGATTTGGGATTCCAATGAAATGTCAAATGTTAAAATCCGATCTCCACAGCGCTCTCACAGAGTCGTAACAGCGATACCAGTGCGCTAACAGTGCGCTAACAGTGCTCTGTCCACAGAGAGCGGGGTAACAGGCTGTTAGCCTGCACTGTTAGCAGCGCTGTTACGGCTGCTGCTCCAAGTAATTTCCCTGTAATTCAACTTGAATGCAAATTTAATCATCAGCAAAATGTACGACTGCTGCGGTGTAATATTCTCCGCCGCGACGCATACAGCCCAAAACCAATGTTCATTTCTGTCCGTTTATTAATTCCTGGGACACACACGTCATGGCCGGGAATGCATTAAGTAGCCCGCACAGTGAGTGCATTTGTTATGTGGTCAGACCGAGTAGGAGCAGCCCCCCCACCCCACCCCACCCAGGCCGAGTGTACGAGTTTACGAGTGTATTCATGTAATCGTGAATATCAAGTGGGTTAATGCCAGCAGCAGACGGACCCTGGGCTGCAAGGCTCCAAGACGTGACCATAATTGTGTGGCTTGCGAAGAGAACTTTGCCGTATTCGGACCACGACAGGGTTGTCAGAGTCAGTCATCAGTTTCAGATTCAGTTTCAGGCTCAGATTCAGTTTCAGGCAGGGTTCATTCCTGGGCACTGTCCATCATCATGGCTGGTGGTCTGGTGTGCTCCTGCTGCTGCTGCTGCTGCTGCTCCTTCTGCTTTTGCTGCTGCTCCTTCTGTTTATTCTTAGCTTGCTGCTCCTACTCCTTCTACTCCTGTATTCTCCTGTATGCTCCCTCAGCTTGAGACATCTCTCTGGCCTCAATGGATGGACTACATGGCCTACAATAAAACTCATGACAAAATCATTACAACCATTTGGAGTAGTTATCGTTCTATACTCGCATATCCTACATATGTACTGGCGGCACCTCCTGCTGCGGTTCTGCTCCTTCTGCTTTTGCTTCCACTTCTGCCTGCCCTCGTGCTGTTGCTACTGCTGCCTGCCTGCCTGCTTAGTTTTGCTCTAGGAAATGGCAAAAGCTGTAAAAAATTTGCATTTTTATAACAACTTAAGTCAGCAGACGACGACTTTACTTTTCCGAGCACTTGAACTGGTTTTTCCTTTACCCCATAGAAAGTTTTGCATGCGTGTCGCTCTCCCACTCATCCTGACCCCGCTTCCCGGTCCCAGCCGCCAGCCGCACCACCCCTGCATATCAGCATATCTAAACTGTATAGTATATATACTCCACCCACTCCCACCCCCTCCTCCTACATACATACATATACCATCATGTGTGTGTGTGTGTGTGTGTCATTTATAATAGCAGTTATATTTATGAACTAGAAAAAAAAAAATAAAAAAGAAAAGGAGAAGAAAAAGCCAGCAAAAATTGTGTCCATTTTGCAATTTGCCGCCGGCGCGGTGCACACCAGGCAAAGTGGTTGAAAGTGGGCCGGGGCGGGGCGGGAGCGGTGCTAGTGGCGGGTAGCAGCCGGACAAGGTGGCGCTGGGATAAGTGGATACACATGCATGGGCTGAGAGTGAGAGTGGGAGTGAAAATGAACTTAAACGAGAGTTGGGTCCTGCCCTCAATGGCAGTTCTTGCTGGAATTTCCTTGCAGGAATATTCCCTTGGAAATTCTCTTGGAAATTAGCGAAGATCCCTAACTGGAAAGCACTTGAAGATGTGTTCGATAGCAGTTTCAGTTTGGGATATTCGAAGCCCGAAAATAAAATACATTCCCTCGGATTTAATTCCCTTTCTTCGAACCACTAGGAACTTTAGCTAGGGAACCATCTGAATTAGCATTAGATCGGGAATAGCTAATGAATATTTTCTATTTTTATTCTATAATTTTATTTTATCATTATTATTTATTTGTTATTTGCTAGCAGCGATCCACACGGCTCTCGAGCGGCCCTAGCTCACAGGCTCATTACTGTGCCAAATATATTGCGTTGCTAATCGAACTAAAGACAAAAATCTGCGTAAATATAAACCAGAAATGATCTTCATTTAATATAAATTCCAGCACACTAGAGAGGGGCGCATTGAATCTATTTAAATGAATGTGTCAGAATTATTTCTGTACTTATTACTTTTGACTGGTAGCTATTGGTGCATTAAATTTAAATTACCTTCAACTCCATACAGATTCCACTTAGTCGATCGGGAACAAACGGCAAGTCATATTAAACTGAAAACAGCAACAAAAGACATTTGGTTTGGTTTTGCATTTTTGTCACTTTGGCACTTTGAAGTTTTGCTCGCTTATTGCTTGTCGTTATAAATTCACTTTTATTGTTGTTAAATGAATTTTGCTTTGTTTTATCGTTACAAACACACGACTTCTCCCCTCTACGAAGTATTTTTAATTGATACTCGAACAAGTGTTGGCCAAATGCACATTAAATTTGACGAAATGATCCAAATTCGATCGTTAAAACGTCCACACGATGGATATGATAACCATAACCATAACGCAGAGGCTGCTCTTACGGCGATCGAACGGCAGGAGTAATTTGGCCTCCATTATGCGGCTGGATGGTGGGGCACAATCGTGAGATCGTGACCGGGCAGTCGTCCGAGAAGAATCCACTTGGCGGCGAGGTGCATGCGCCACCAGCATATTCGGTGCCTGCATGCTGACCACATCGATCTCCCCCTGGCCGATCTGCAGCGGGTTGAGGGTACAGACCATAATTCCGCTGGGCTGCCAGAGCCAACAGCGGATGGATTTGCCTCTGCATGCGATAATGGCGCATCACATTGGAGGTGTCTGTGGTGGAGAGCACCGGATGGAGATGCTTCTGAAGTAGATTGGCAGTAGCCACCTTAGAGTTCAGCTGAAGCATGATAGCCACAACTTGCGCCATGCGCATCGCGTCAAGGAACTGAGAGTCCAGACCATGGCCGAGCAGCCTGTGCGTTCACGGCCTGCTTCCCCATCTTCGTCTGTGTCTGGCCATGAGACGGCGGACTCGATCGTCAAACTGCTTCAATCTGGTTTGCCTCCTACTCCTCATCGTGCCCATCCTCGTTCCCCTGCCCTCCTGAATGGCTGCAACAGCCATCGTCCTGTGTCCTGTGTCCGCTGGAGGGAATGGGATGGGATGGAACGAATGGACACTGCTAATGCGCATTGTATGCGATAAGTTGCAAGGCCCCTCCAGTACTCCGCCCCAGAACTTCCGACGTCTTCATCGTGGCACAGTGGTCGCTCGGCATGCAAAAGGAAATGCTCCTCCTGCTGGTTGCTTTTGTGTGGGGGGCAGCCAATGTGCGAGTGTGCGAGTGTGCGCGTGTGCGCGTGTGCCACTGTGCCGTCTGGCAGTCTGTCGTCAACGATGTGAAGTTTGCCTTCCGCTTGTCGCTTCACATGCTAGCCCTTGGCACCGGCTACCAGTCTCCTTCCTGGCTCTGGGTCTGGCTCTGGGTCGTTTTGCAGTCCGCTTGTCGCACGACCAACACACAAATTACCATCGTTGAGCAGAAGCACCACTAACAAGTGGCAGCAAGAGCAACAGAACAAGGAGGAATGGAGAATGCAGCACGGAGGTGCTGCTGCTGCTCCTCGTCAATTGTCCGTTTTTTGTGTATGAGATTGATGATGAAAAACTGGCGCTTGATGTTTGTCACTGCTGCTACTTCCTCGTCCGTTTGTTTAAATAATTCACCGAGACGACGAGCTCCGGCATGCATATCGAGTCGCCTTAGCGTTTCCTGGCGTTCACATCCACATGCAGCCAGCCAGCGCCAGCTCAGGTCGCGCTTCATCTCTGTCGCTGTGAGGGTTCGTGGCGGGACGGGACGGGGCAAGAAGGGTCGTTGGGTAAAATGCGTTTTAGTATGCATGCTGCAATTTCTATATGTCCATGCCGCCGCTCGCAATTGCTTGCTTGCTTGCGTGCATATTTTATGCACATTCTCATGCCTTACCTTCCTTGCCTTGCCTTGCCTTGGCCTTTTGTCATGGTTTATTTCCAACTGCAATTTGGCGCTGTTGCTGCGCAGCTGGTCGCATTTTTTATAGCTGCGCTGCTGCTGCTGGGCGCAACATGTTTTGGTCATTTGCCGCATACGTAAGTAATCTGTGGCCGCAAATCACTTGCTGGCGCTGAAATTATATCAATTTAGTCGGCGAGCGGAGAATCAAAATCCATGGAGCCTGCTATTCATATTTACCTTCAAAAGCGATGCGATGCATGTGGCAACGCTGGTCGATGGCGATCATTAATAGAGCTGCCAGATCGATGGGAAAATGTGGGAGCTTTGATTGCGGTTGAATTTCAAACGTTTCTTCATGTAAAATTTCAAAAAGAGATTATCCTTCTATTCTGGCAGTCTTGCGGAAGGCACGCATTTTGTTGTTCTCGTTGGTTCTCCCTTTCCCCATTCCTTGTGGAATTCCTGCAATGATAATACGTTTTAGAAGATATAAAAGAGTACCCACCGACTTATACATACATCCCATATCCATGGGATATCGCCATATCCATATCTCCCTGATCCAAAAACAATGAAATTAAAAAAAAAAAAACTAATTTTCTCAATTCATAATTTCGATATTATTTTCAAAATTTGAGAGGTAACTAATTATAATTGACGTATAGCTGTGGGGGGGGGGGGGTGGCGGGGGGGGGGGGGCGGGGGGGGGGGGGGCCGGGGGGGGGGGGGGGGTTAGGTTCATTAACTTTGATTTGAAAACTAATTAAAATAACGCCTCACCTAGACCAGTGGATATATCAATTTTTATTTAATATTTTTAAACTTAAAATTTTGTTTGCTCATATCGTTGCAATATTTTTTTTACGGTGTAGCTGCTGCGAGTATATTTTACAGATAAAATTATTTTCTAAGGTTTAAGTTAAGGTGGTTCAAGTGTTCAAATAGATTTCTTGATAACACCATTATGGTGCTATGACATTAGACTAATAGCCTTATATGTAAAGATGCCTGCAGTCAGAGCGGAATTAAATTTAGAAGGCTGTGTTTTGCTAGAAACATCATTTTGTCTCATGTAGTGCCTCATTTGTTCGACAGAAAACAATTAGACGTGTCTAGAGACGGCTACGAACAATAATTTGGCATTTTATCCCTCTCTACGCAGAAAAATTGGCCAAGTTTAATGTCATAACACCATAAGATGTTAAGTTTATTCCTCTGTATACTTACGGTATATTTTGAAAATGAGAAAGGTATATTTCGGTATATTTCTAAGGGAATGGCGGGCATATTGTATCGATAAATCCGCGGTCACACTGCACTTGCACACGAATTTAGTTTTTTTTTGTTGATTTTCGCCAAGAAAATGGCAGATGCTGTACGTAAAACTGAAAAAATTGGCATGCATCTAGTATTTGTCATATAAATATGCATTTACAGGCCAGCACAAGTGCCGGAGGCAGTGCAGGAGCAGGACAGCAGCAGCAGCAGCAAACGCAGTCGCTGGGTCTGGGTCTGCTGTGGCTGTGCCCGGGGCTGGCGAGGAACAGCGACGCATCTGGGTGGGAAATTTGGATTCACGGATCACCGAGTAAGTTGATTGCAGCCAAAACGCTGACCCCCAAACCAAAGCTAATAGTCACTCTCCCCTTGCCAATTATCGGTTTCAACTTCTCAAACTAATGCAAAAATGCGGTCCCATCGAAAAGTTCGACATGCTGTTCCACAAGGGCGGCCCAATGGTTGGCCAGTCCCGCGGCTATGCCTTTATCACATTCGCCCAGGTAGGTACCCCCCGGCCAACAGCAAACCCCCCTGCCCCCCCTGTACACTGTACTCACTGAAATTTCCGTTTCGTTTTTCACGCACGCCAAGAATGAGGGAGCCACCAATGCGCTGCTCAAGCTGGATGGCACAAGCGTGGGCAGCCGCTCGATAGCCGTCCGCCTGGCCAAGAACATCAAATATGTGAGTTTAACCTTGAAGGCGGATCCTTTATCCTGTCTAATACCTGCGCATATACTGTACACAGGATGATCTGCAAAAGCCCAAGCCGCGCATTGAGATTCCCGCTCTGGGAACGGGCAAGCGTGAGGAGAAAATCAGCAAATCGGAGGCCATACGCGCCATTGAGGCGAAGCTGAAGCATCTGGAACGGCAGACAGACGACAATCTCGAGCTGAATCCCAGGGACGGCATCAACGCGAACGTGCCCTTCATCCAGCGCTTTCAGTTCAACAAGGATCGGGACAATACTCAACGCTATGGCAAATCGTCGGCCCCCTACCATCGACAGCAGCGTCCGAAGCGACGCTGAGGCCACCGGAACGCACCGCGAACAACTTCGTTTAGTTTACGTGAAATTTTAGTACTTAGGGCGCTACCTCAGCAGCAGACAGCCTGACAACCACACCATTTACTTTACAATTAATTTATTTAAGAGATAAAGACACACCCAGTATGAAAGGAAACACAAAAGTGAGCATTACTTGGGAGCGAACTTGAATTTGCCGCGCATCTGTTCGGGCAGTGGCACGGTGCCGGGGCAGGGTATCTGTCCGGGAATCTCGCAGATGCAGTGCCGGTCGCAGCCGTAGCCGAAATTGGCCGGATTGTCCTTACTCTCCTTCAGGCGGGCCTCCGCATCCAGTTGTTCGCTGAAAGAAAATAAGCGGAAATTTAAGGCTTGCGGGAGCAGCAGATGGGAGATGCAACCAGCCACTTACCGCGTCTTGCCCACCACTTGCACGAGATGGTCGATGATTTGGTCTCTATCGCGGCTATCAATGTCGATGAGCATGTCGCGGCCATCGTCAAAGTAGCAGCGCACAAACGGCGACGGCGTCATGTTCTTCATGGTGAGCACCTGCACCTCGGGATTCTTGAACTGCACCTGTGGTATGTTCCAGAACACAAAGTCCCTGCAGAACAGAAGGGCAACAGATTAGATTCGAGCGGCATTGGGCGAGAGCAGAAGAGACCCACCTGGCGCCCGCATGATGATCGCCGTATGTGTTGTAGTTCACGCTGAAGATGCGCACCTTGTCCTTGAGCACCAATTTGCCGGCATTCAGGTACTTGAGGGTGCGCCGGATCGGCTCGCGTCCCTTCATGAAAGGCATGCTGGAGTTTTAATTGAAATAAATGGTGCGAAAACAAAAACGTTTTTTTTTTTATATAGCGGCTGCTTGTGTAATGCACCCAGCTGATGGCCTAGTGTGGCCGTATATTTTCATATATCGAATGCAGTACATCGATATAAAGTTTGCGCTCAGAACGGAGTTGAAAGTATTTACAACAAACTAAAAGGGAAACAAAATGCACATGCAATATTTACAAATAAAAACAATTTCCTCAAATACAAGCAGTTGATTAAAACATCATGCAAATTACAATCGATATGTGAACTCAATACAAATATCGATATAAATTCAAAACAACAACAAAATTAAATGGAAGCCGGCTAATTTTAGAAAATATCACTAAATTACCACCGTTTTGAAAGGATTTATTGAACAATATGATGGAAATAACATTGGCCGTGATCAAGCCGCATGTGCTGCGCAACACATACGCCCTGCAGCAGATAAAATCGCTGATCGAAAAGAACTTTCGAGTGCTCGATCAGAAGGAGGTGCACATTACGAAAGAACTGTCGGATCGTTTCTATGCGGAGCACCGGGGCAAATTCTTCTACCACCGCCTGACCACTTTCATGAACAGGTGAGTGTGGCAGAGTCCTGTCCTCCCGCCTGCTTTGTCGTATACCCTGGAATATATCGTCCCATCCTAGCGGCCCCTGCTATGCGCTCATACTGCAGTCGGAGGCCTCCATACAGAAGTGGCGCCGCCTGATGGGTCCCACCAAGGTATTCCGTGCCGTCTACACCGAACCGCAGTGCATACGTGCGCTCTATGGGCTGTCCGACACACGCAACGCCTGCCACGGATCGGATAGCGAGGCGTCGGCGCTGCGTGAGATTGGCATCCTCTTTCCGCAGTTCGATGTGCTTGCCGTGGCTGAACGCGAAGCCAAAAAGGAGACGTAGTACGCTCGATACACGAGTCACTTATTAGCCAAAATGTTTGGCCAAGCCTCTTTGTAATTATAAGACAGCATCAGAGCATCATTTGGAGAGCCCTTGGGTGCTGCCGGTTTCCCACTGCAGCTGCTACAAAGGCTGCTGTATAACGGAAACTCCCACATGTCTGTGACTGCCTCTGCTTAGCAGAGAGAGCGAGAGAGAGAGAGAGAGCCGGACAGGAAGCTGATGAGCCGCAGGACTGCTCTCACTCATGGAGGACTCGTGACTGGTTCAAGTGGAAGACAATATACAGTGCGCTCGACAGTAGATATTATTTCCAGTGCCTCAGTGAGCGAAAAAGCATTTAGCATTGATCAAATTGTGTTTCAAAAACTTTATTTATCATCAATTTCTGGTTTACATAATACAATTCTTTACTCATTTATGTTTCTATGTGGTAGGTACATGTATAGATAGAGATTTTCGATTTGTTTCTGGTTACCGCTTTAGCTCCATTGTAAATAGTTTTGTAATTGTAATAAAAATTATAAAATTTATAAACTTAACAAATTATACAAATATCTAATCGTATTTGTTTGTGTGTTGTGTAGCCGTTAGTGTAGCCCTATATAAAGATATAGCTATACATATATATATGTATGTTTTTCTGTTTGTATTGTATATCGGTTCAGACAATTGATAGAATAGAGAAGCATCGCCAAAGAAATGGGGAAAACAGAAACCGAGAAGAAACAAAAAATCAAAGAACAAAATTCGTAATTCGTAATTCATTTTGTGGGTGCGAGCGAGACCACACACACCACTGTCTGTGTCTGTCTGTATCTTTCTAACTGTGCGCAAAGGGGCACCAAAAAGAAACAAAAAAAAAATAGATTAAAAATAAACACCAAAAGGTATATAAAATATTCAATTAAAAAAATGGTAGATTTAATCATCTAAACATCTAGTTTTTTTTTTTGTTTAGCTCTGAAGCTTCCAAAACGAAAAAGAAAAAAAAATATTGTGGTATTGATTCCTAAACAATTATCCATATTCCATATTAATATTGTAAATTTTTTGTTTGTTTATTTTTTTTTTTGCTATTTTTTTTTGGTTTTGCATTTTGTTTTTCTCATTGTTTGCGATCCCTACTTTTGGTATCAATTAGAAATCTTTAATGCCTATTTTGCAGTCCTACAATTTTCACAATTCGCTCGCGCGTCTCGTCTCCTTTTTCCAGTATGAAACTTTCCTTCCGTTGAAGTTCTTTTTAATTGCTTTTTCTTTTTTTGTTGGTTTTGGTTTTTATTTTTTTAATTTTTTTTTGTTGTATTTTCTGGTTTTTTTTGTTTGTTTGTTTGTTTGCTTTTAACCTTAAGTTCCCCACATACATATACACATATATATTGCTATTCCAAACAGATCTCTAGATCGTTAAACTTGTATATAACTCGCAAAAAAAAAAAGAAGGGGGTAAACAAAAAAGGTGGCATGCTTTTGCGGCGGGCGGCGAGAGTGTTGCCAGATGTTGTGGATAGTTTTAGGTGGGTACTGTACTCAGTTTTGTTGGTGGTTGTTGTCCTGTCTTTCATTCGGTGACTGTACTTCCAACCTTGCATCCATCTAACTGGGCATCATATCCTCTCTGGACCGCATTGCAAGGACATTTCCAACTTGCTTAAATCCGTGGGTGTGTGTGTGTGTTGTTTTTGTTTTTCATTCTGTTTCACTTGTCATTTGCTCAATCTTTAAACTATATATGTATAGTAGTAGTATGTATTTATTTTGGTATCCTATCAACTATGCAACTTTTGCCTAGGCGCGCTACCTTTTTGATGCATACATATATATAGATATACATATATGGGGGGAGTGGGAGGGTGTATATTTTATACTTATTTTCTGTATAGTATATGCATATATAACCTTTTGAATGTAACCAGCTCATAGCATAAAAAGACTATTTCAAATAGTATTTGTTTTTCATTTTGTTTGTCAATGACAACATCAATATATATATATATCAATATAGGTTGCTATTTCCTTTCTCCTTTCTCCCTTCTGCTCCCTGCTTCTCTCGCGTGTCTGTACTTCAAATAGTATTCTTATATTCTTGTATAGTAAATAATGTTTGAATGTTTGCTTGTCTCTCGGACACCTTCTCTTCTTCTCCTCCTTATTTTCTTTCTTCCTGTTTTTTTCTGAGCATTTTCTTCACTCGAACATGGCCATCGATGAGGTGGGCACCACCTCCAACAGCAGCTGGAAGAACAGCGTCACCTTGTCTGTAATTGTTAAATGTTAAATATTAATGGATATTTACTTATAATATTTTTGGTAACCATTTTACTCACTCATGAAGCGCGGTGTCATGCCCAGCTTAACGAACGGCACATAGAAGATGAGGCCAGCAAATATGAAGAGCAATGCATACAGATACTCAATGCGAGGCGTCTCAAAGATGGGCGCCGCCACAAGATAGATGGATATGACCAATACCACAACGGGAATGATGATCGGCACTTTGTATGGCCGTGGATAGTTGGGTTTGGTGTAGCGCATCACGATCAGGGCCAGCATTGCGCCGCCGTAGAATATCCAGGCGGTGAAGCTGAAGAAATCAATCAGCGAATCAATCGTGCCATGCAGCACCATTGCCGAGGCAATCAGCGACTGGACGGGGTATACGAATACAGAGAAAGAGATACAGAGAGAAAGAGGAGTTTTAGAAACGGAGGATACTTGTTGCCACACGCACACACGCAACATATGGGAGTGGGCACTAAACTACATATAGGGTTTTGTGGGCGATATACTCGTAGGAGCCATTCAGAGGGTGCATTGATTACTTCATCGATTGATCTATGCCATATGGCAATATCCAAGGTGATCCAGGGGCTAAATGATAGCAGAAATTAAATTTAGGAAGTGAAAGATTTGGTATACAACTTGTATAGCAAAACAAACTTTGACGAAGTTTTTGGAGAAGAAAATTCGAACTTTAAGAGGTCGGATTATGGAGCAGAAGGCATTTCAATAACTGCAATGTTTTGTTTGCATTTTTAACTGTTTAAAATCTGCTTAATTTTGATATTTAAATGGAGAAACCAAATTGGAAAATCTGGCTACAAAATGGGCATAGAAGCGATGGGTATGGGTATGGAAACTTCCATTCAAACGTTTGCACTTGCATTCAATTTATGGTATCAAGGGATAGTTTAAATATTTCCACGGGTAACATCAGGAATTGCAAAAGGTTTTAGGGGTTTCTACATAAAGATGGGAGGGGGTATATGAAAAGGGAGCGAGGATATACAGTAGTAGAATCGAATGCAGGGGAATGGGATGTCTGTCCAGCCCACATCAAAAAAAAAAAAAGACAGAGGAATGTATGGATGGGGGTGGATGGTTGGATAGATGGAGATGGAGCCCCCTGTTGGATACTCACGTGGAATATCAGGCCCGGGGCTGGTGTGAGGCGTCGCACATGGACATACGAGAGAATGTCCAGCAAGTGACCCTCTCGACTGGCGGCAAAGCAGAGACTGCAATGCAAAAAAAACAAAACAAATGTTAGAGGGATTCAACATTCAACATTAGTAGCCGAAAAAAAAATAAAAAATGCTTACCGTCCGGCGGCAAACAGTGTGCCATTGGCACTGCCAAACGTACTGATGGTCACACTGAGGGGCATCAGCCAGGCCATGGCGCCCAGGATGCGATTGCCAAAGGTGACGGCCACCGCCTCCGATTCGATCATCTCCTGTGGCGACATGGCCGCCAGATAGGAGATATTGATCAAAGCGTAGCAGAGCGTCACCAGCGGTATGCCAATGATGATCGAACGGGGCAGATTCTTGCTGGGATTCTTGATCTCCTCGGTGACATAGTTGAGATTATTCCAGCCATCGTAGGCCCACAAGCCCGTATAGAATGCCGTGGCAATCGCTCCGACATTTGGCATCGGTCCATTAAATGCATTCGACAGGTGCTGCGTATTGCCCTGCATCAGTTTCCATGCACCGCCACAGATGATGATCACAACGGCCACCAGTTTGGCGGCGGTGAACACATTCTGCACGGCCATGCCCAGGTTAACGCTGTAGCAGTTCACGAACAGTATCATCACTGCAGTAATAGTTCATGATAATTATAATTCTGGGAGGTGGAGGGGAGTTAGTTCTTACCAATAGCCACCAGTGCGACCATCTTCACGACACCCCTGGGCGGATCACATTCCGTCACAAAGGCCTCAACGGCATACTGTGCAAATGATAAGCATATTATAGCCATTTGTGATGGCTTCAACACCAATGTCGATACCCATGAGAACAGGAACGCCGGCGCCGGTCCATAGGCATCCATAAAGTAAGCCCATTCCGCACCAGAAGAGGTGTTCATCGTTCCAAGTTCAGCATATGACAGAGCGCCTGCAAAAACAACCACAAAAATATATATAGAAAATATGTTAAGAAAAATATGTGCTTGATGGTTATAAGGTTTTTGTTTTGGCACGAGTGTCTTTTGGTGTTCCAAATCTTTTTGTTAATAAAAGACATTTTTGGAGTGAAGGATTCTTTGGGTATTTCCGTGAACTACATTTCTGCTTTGATTCTAAAAATTTTTAGAGCAAATTGAACTCCTTTAAGCTATGAAATCTGCACTGGCTTGAACAAGTTGCCGATTCTTGCCTTATTTTTAGGCTTGATTTCGAATATCAGAGTGCTAGTTAAAGGATCCAAACAGATCGTAGACTGGAACTAAACGCATAATTAGGTATATTTAAAAGGCAAATATTTTGAATGAAAGAATAAAAAGTGAAAGTGCTGAATCGAAACTAGACCTGTGGATCTTTTAATTCTAATTTAATGTATACAAAAATATTCAGCACTTTTTTGGGCACTCTTTGGTCTCTTTAGACTTATTTCCTTCCCTAAATGCTTCCAACTCTTTTTGTTTTCATGCTCTTGGGCAAAAGAAAAGCCGCCAAGAGCGGAAAAATCTGTACGAATATAATCGTCAGTGTAATTGGCCCCATGCCAGTGCCGTGCAACAAGTTGTGTTAAATGATGGCCCCGCGGATGTTTGTGATTTGTGGCCATTTGGCAGTCGGTAAGTGGGTCAAATGCACGTGGCTAGACGCCGTTGAGTGAGCGCTACATGTGAGTGCATAAGTGGAGTGCATGAGTGAGTGTATGAGTGTTGTGCTGTGTGGATTACTTACCCAAAAGCGAGAGTACACCACAGGCAAGCCAGATTGCAAAGCTAACTCCAACGGAACCAGTACGAACCAGTAAACCGGAGGGAGACACAAATATTCCAGACCCTGTAAAACAAACATAAAGAGAGAGAAGAGAGAGAGAAGAGAGATGCATAAGTGACCGTTGCATATGTGTTCCCGGCAAACAGCTGTTCGCCGGAGGGGGCGGGGGGGGTCTTGTAATATTAAGCGCCTCCTCTCTTCATATTATTTATGCTAATGCTAGAGTAGGGATGGAACGGGAACGGTAACGGGACAGACGTCATCAATGTGGGTGAAACAGAGCGCGAGAGAGCGGGCGGGCGAGCGAGAGAGCGGGCGAGCGAGTGAGCTTTCTGGGCAGGCAATCAGCCTGAAAGCTTCATTCTCTCCATATCCAGGCGGCGGCGTGTGCGTTGGGAGCACTTAATAACGGTAAATACTGGTATTTTGTGGGCAGGTACAACGGTAATGTGGCATGCCCCATTTGGTATGTGTGATATGCCGGGGAGGGGGTGGGGCTGGCGTAGCGTGCAACAATTTAGTGACCAAATTGCGTGACACAATTGGCGCCATTGCCTAAGGTCAAAGTGCAATACCAAACAAAAAACACCAAAAACTCCAGCCCCAGCCCCAGCCCCAGCCGACTCGATTCGTGTCATAAATATTTACTGTATTGCCACATTGCGTCACGCCCACTCCCTACGTACGTACGTACGTACGTACATGCGTATACCAGAAGAAATTCTCGTTAATCCGTAAAGCCCCATCCCGCTCGATGGTGTTGTTGCCTGTTGCCGCCGCCGCTGCTGCTCTCTCTCTCTCTCCATCCCTGGCCTATGCCGGATTGCGTAGCCGACACCTACACAGGCACGTACAACGCGTCAGACAATACATACATACATACACATCGCTATATATATATATATGTATATGTATATGTATATATATCTTCTATGTATATGTATGTGGAGCGGTACATATATCTAAATTTATGCGTACGTATTTTTGGCCCATGCGCGCCTCCAAGCCAAAGCACAAAAAAAAACCCAACTCAAATAAATAAATAAATAACGAATGAACAAAAAATGTGCTTCAATAATTTTCACCGACTCCCAGCGAACAGATAGAAAGTAAAATATATTAAAAAAAAGAAAAAAAGAAAAAGAAGGCAACACCAGAATCTGTTGACACAATCCAAGGAAAATGGCGTGCTCGGATTCGTGTTTTGTCGTCGTCGCCACATTCCTGGCCTCATGTTTAGTGCATTTGTTTTGTGGATAAGGTAAGCATGGACAGAGGGTGGAGGGTGAGGGGACTTACCTATCATAGTTCCGACAATTAAAGCCACCCCACTGAAGAGGCCCAGCCTGCAAAATAGAAGAGAATGAAAGGATATATTAGAGTTTAGAAAGACAAAAAATATCCAAGGGGTTTTCATGAAGTTAGCATCACAATTGAGGTCTCCCTTTGGGAAAGTTTCTAATGAATTAATCGGATTTTCAGCTAACAAAAATCAATGCTTAAGATCATTTATTAATAAGAGTGAATGTGGATTCAAAATGTCTTTCAATATTGCAGTTTTGTATGTGCAAAACTAAAGATCGTTGAGTAGAGAGAGCCAGAGATCTACAGATTTCTTCATGCTAAACTCAAGTTTGCACGCGCCTGATCACTGATCAGTACGATCAATAATCAATATTGTTAGATGTCTCGCACACAAAACCTCGTTAGGGTCGAGTGACTAGAGTACACCATTCAATTGACGGCCAAGTGTTAATGCCAAGCGGACTTTGGGCCAGAGTTGTGGGTTGAGTAAATAGTTAATAACCGATGATCGGTTGGGCTTACCTTCTCTCGAGGTGAACAGCGTCGTTCTGCGTTGAGCCATTCCTCTCCAGCGGCTTCCGCATCCGCCCGGTCCCTGATGAGTCGGTCTCTGTCGCTTCGGGCCCTTCTGTCCCAAGAGACCCATTGGCGCACATTGTCCCGTTGTTCGTTGCTTTTGTTGGCACATTATGTCCTATATCGCACGTGTGTGTGTGTTATTTTTTTGGGGATCACCGATAGATAGAAGAAACAGAACAAAACACATGGATTAGCATGGGAGATGCACAAGAAAAAAAAAAGGAAGATATATGTACATATAATGCTCGTAGTATTTGTATAATTCGTTTATCGCAGATAAGCACTAGACATTGCGGCGAACTTGATAATTGCCAATCGTCTGTCTGTACCCCCCCCACAAACCCCCACCAATTTGTCCCATAAATAATTGTAATTTTTTTTCTTTTTTTTTTTTTGGTAATATCATTGATAAAGACTCTCTGGCACACACACACACACACACACACACACCTGTATTATCTGTTGAATTATTTTTGCATGCGTTTTTTTGCAAGCAAAATAGTTGTGATATTTTATCGCGCATGGCATGGACGGATAACAAGTTGCTAAAATTATTTCGCCGCGAATTTCAGCTCTCAGCGAATCGGCAGAATACGAGTAGTGGTGGCGGGTAGATGGATCGAGCGTGGAGCGAGTACAAAAAAAAGACCGTGTGGCGTTTGGGGCGACTTATCGCAGGCGACTGTTCTTGTCCCAATTGTCGGCCGCGTCAAATAGTCCGCACCGTGAAAGCTTTTGCCGCCCGAACAGCAGCCGAATGGAGAGAGCCCGAACGACCGACAGACAGACCAGCTAGTCGAAGAACAAACGAGAGGCTGCCTTAGGGATGCTAATGACAGAAACGACACTCTCTGCGGCTCGCTGCTTTCTCTCGTCGGTTTCGTGTCGTATCGTTTCGCTTCGCTTCGCTTCGTTTTGGTTCGTTTCGTGTCGGCACTTGTTAGCTTTCGGCCGCTGCTGTCTACGTGACACACTGTACGCCGTTGGCTGGCTGGCTGGCTGCCTGGCTGGCTCGTTGTAGTATCTATAGAAGTCCTCCCCTCCTGACTGATTTATGCAATTTCTTTATAACTTTGATATTGGCTCTGATATTTTGTTTGTTTGTTGCCTTTGATTATGGAATTTGTCAAGGTGAAGGCAGGGCAGGCAGTGGCCATTAAGCTTTTGATCCTCTCGTTTCTTATCTGACGCTCCGCCGCTCTATATTTTGGTTGAGTTGCTTTTGCTGCTGCTGCTGCTGCCTCTGCCTGGGCTATTTATAATTTTTCCCACATGAAAAAACGAAAATAATTGAAATTGAATTTGGCTGCGACGACGTCAGTACGCGAAGAAGGTTTCTTGTCCGCTGCTCAATTGAAACTACATTGCCGAATGCAGCCTCAATGGGTGCCACAATATAAGGGTTAGGCCACTCTCTTTCTCCTATTCTCACACTCACACACACACTCTCTCTCTCTCTCTGTCTCTGTCTTTCTCTGGCAATTTCATTCATGCGCTTCTCTCAATTAATTGTTTGTTGCGCATTTCATTTGGCTCAATTGGTTGCTTATTAATAGAGAAGATGATTCGTGGTGGTTCTTCGGTCTGTCGTCGATTGGCTTGGATTGTATTGGGTCATGTGCCGCTACAGCGGCCGGTCATGGGCCCCCATGTGTGGCCTGTGGCCTGTGGCTGAGCGAAAGGCCTAACCACGTCACCAGACGCGTCTCTTCTTACCCTAACCCAACCCCAACCCCCCATCATGGGCAACAGAATATTTCATCAGACAACTTTCACTGGCACAGTGAATCGAAGAAAGGAAAAACATTTCCCCAGGAATCAATTCATGCAGAACAGCGAAAATTCAGCTATTTTCTCTTACTATTTCCGTTCGCATATACGACTGGACTTGCCCCCAAAAAAAAACTACGCGTATACATATGTTTGTATGTGTAGTACATATGTATATCTAGATAAAACACTCCACAAATAGATCTAGTACGTATTTCTTTTTTGTGTGCTTGTGCAAAACTTTCGAATACACAACCCACAGATGAATATCTACATACATATGTTTGTATGTATGTACGAATAATCTATGGTCAGAAATACACAGATACAGATACTTCTTCAAATATCTGCTATATCTGCTTATAAACACAAATAAACGATTCTTTTTTCCCTTCTAAATATTTCGTCTACTCGTACCGCTTATTTCTGCCTCATCTTTTTCAATGTATTTTACTTTATTTTCTTTATTTTTTTTTTTCTTTTTTCTGTCATAAAAGTCACGCGGCCCAAGAACATTTTTGCTTTTGTTGATCGACTGCTGGGGCAGGGGACAGGAACAGGCACAGGCACTGGCACAGGCACAGACAGGGCCGTGCTGTTTGGGTGTTTTCGCGGTACATTACTTTCAGATCTTTTGCTGAGCTTGCAATTTATTGGATACTCGTGCGGGCCCTCCCTGTATGCCCCACTGATGTTGATGATGATGATGATGATGATGATGAAAGCAAACAAGTGTGTTTCAGCTGCCAATTGCACACACGATCTATTCAGTCATCACTCAAAGTGTATCGCTCAAATAATCGATCTATCATCCAGCACATCCGTGCTGTTAGGTGTAAGCCGCACTGCCAATCACTCTTTGTACATATATGCATCTCTGTGCGCCTTAGATTGCATTGCGTAACCTGATTACTGGTCCACACTGACGTCACACAGCGACACAAGAGCCAGTGCCACTGCCACTGCCACACACTTGTGGCCTTCACCCCAGAGGCACTGCAAAGGAGGAGCGGAGCGCCGCTCCTCTGACATTTATGCCATTTTATTAAATGTGATTTCGATTCGTCTTGTCAGCCACTCAACGCCCCAGCCATTAGACGGGCGCTGCAGTGTGCCACATTAATTTTTGATGGCAGGAATCGGTCCAACCGCTTTATGAACGTACACGTCCCAAAGGCACGTATACCCAAAGTTAGATATATACAAATAGCTTGATGAACTGACGGCACATTGCGCAAATATATATCCAGAGGTCTCTAAACAAGGACTCCGAAGGAACTTTGATATAAGAAAAAGCATCAAGTGGAATGCTACAGACAATAATGATTGGAGTGCCTTAAGAAGGGAATTTTGAAGGGCAGCTCACACGAAAATATAATTTGCAAGGAAAATGCACTTGGAAAATATTCGGAAGGGAAGAGCGCACTGAGAAAGGATTTTGAATGAATGCTGTCCCTTAAAAAGTATTCCAAAATGCGTTCAGGCACTGATAACAGATTACAGCAGATGAATTCAGGCACTGACAACAGATTATAGTAGATGAAGACGCACACTAAAAATGTTACTTCTGTTTTTTTTTTTTTAAGAAAATACAAATATTTTGAATTAAAGCCACGCACTCGGATATGATTTTTCCATGCTATTTGTTCTAATGATTTTCTGGGTCTGCTGCCGGGCCGGGCACGGCACACACTTCAAACATTGGATCCTACTTGTCGCCTGATCTCTGTTCTGTCCGTTAATTATTTAGACAAATTAATGCGGAAAAACAAACTGAAAGAAAGAAAAAAAAAAAAAAAAAAACGATATTCCGCGTTGATAAGTGAGGGGGAGTCCGATTGTATACATATACATATGTACATATATATGTAGTATATTTAGTAGAACGCCACTGGACACCGGCATAAGCGAGAGGGTGGTACGGCGCCATGGGGGCAGTGGGTACGGGTACCCCGGGTACAGGTGATGTGAGATACTGGGGCCTTTGAGTGGCAGCCACTGACTCCCCCGAACTGCCCCTCCATAACCCATACCATCCAACGCTACGGGGCCGTGCTGTGACGCAAAGAAGTCGTCGTCGTCGTCGCCGCTGTCTGCGTCGACGCCATTAAATGAGTAATAATCACGCGCTACAACAGCACACAAATGTCTCACTCTCTCACTCTCTCTCTACCTCGTTGTTTTCCCCCCAATCTCCCACACCCTCTTCCTCTTTTGGGGCCCGACAAAAATGAAAATCTCAAATATTCAGAGCTCCCAACGTGTGGCAGGAAGATTGGGGTCCTGCGACCTGCAGTGGGTGGGGCATGGCATGGTTTATGCATCTCAATTGGCGAACAGCCAAATAAAAATGATTTTCTGATCTGCTGCCTTTTCTTCTTCACCCTCTCGCCGCTGTTGCTGCTGCTGCTGCCACTGTTTGTTGGTTTTGCTTAAATATGTTTAGTTAATTTTGTTGCGGGCGTCGCGTCAGATAGATCGTTGGGGGCAAGGCCAACCCACCGACTAATCAACACCCTCGCACATGTGGCACAGGTCTGGGAGATCGATGGGAACATTTATAAAGAAGGGTTGCAGGAGGGTTCCACTCAGCAGTCTTTGGGCTTGAATAAGGGTACAAAAAGAATGATTGTTTAAAGATTTTTGCACTTTGATTAATTGCGAATATTTTTGAAAGATTTGGCACCAATTGTAGTTATCGATAATTATCGATATGCACATGAGTGTTGCCAGCAATCGTCGACTTAATCGCTGAATTTGATAAGGTGCTAAAATGTATTCCGATCGAAATCGAAAGCTGAAAGGAACTTCATACAGCTGAATTATAGTTTTATTTTCAGGGAATTGAGATCTAAATCTATTAAGAGAGTGGCAGAAGGGAAATATTTCCACATTCCACTGCATTTAATGTATCACTTATAAAAATATAGTAATGAATCTTTTGGTGTATCCTCTATTTCCTCTAGCACATCCTCTATTGCCTCTGTGTGCCGCTCCTCCTGTCTGTTTTGTCATTGACAGCAACTGCGATGTGTCTCAATTCATTGAAATTTTTGTTTTTGATGCCCCAGAAATTAAATTTAAATTATTTGCTTATCTCTTTATTTGTGCTAAAACATTTTTTGCCTCTCATTTTTGTTTTTTTTTGGTTGCCTCTTAATTTTTGTTGGCTGTTAATTAAACGGCGCATGAAATGTTTCATCTGTCGTTTTGTGCTAATTATTTGAACTAAGTATATAGAATATAACTGGCTATATGAAATGGATTGATGGATCGATTGACAGTTTGTCCATTCCCTGTCCATCCCTCAAGTGTTTGCCTAACCCTCGACCAAGCACGCGATGAACCCAAAATGTGGCCCAAAAATAAAACACTTGCCGAGGAACTGTCCCGGCCTCTCCTGTCCCGTCCTGTGGTGCTCGTGGGGAGTTTGCTTAATTGATTTGTTCTGTATCGATGGACACCAAAGTGTTGCCCAAAGAGGCCCCGTCTGCAAGTGTCAATGGCCCTGTCCCATGTCCCATGTCCCGAAACCGCAGAAAGTGAACTCAATCAGCTCTGTGCAAACATGTGTCATAACCAGCGCTTATGCGTGGGCCACAGATCGACTTATAGACTTCGTGTGCCAACTGGCTTTAATCATTCGCTTGTGGCAAGGCTATAGCACTTAATGCTGCTAACCGATTTCATTCGTGGCCCATTTGTCAGGTGTGAACCAGTTGAAAGCCAATTGAAACCTAATCTCTGTGACTTGTTCATTTAACTTTTGATTCACTTTTGATGAAAGCATTTAACAAAACCGACCAAGAACCGGTTATGGCTGGACTTTAAACCGGTTACCGTCACTGCTATTCTGCACAATATACGTATATCCATTTGTTTCTCATGATTTTGCTGGTTTTTTGCACACTTCTTTTGGGGTTTGCTTGTGTCTATTATTTTTTTTGGGGCAACTTTATTAAAGATTATGGCTGGGTTTTCCTTTAAGCGCATAATTTATAGTCATTTGTTTGAGTTTATTTGGGCACACTTTAATGTTTGCTGTTATTTTATTTATCATGTGCCAAAACAGCTAAAAATTAAAATAAAACTAAGTGCCAGATTTCGCCCATTTAAAATAAATATTACAAAAAAAAAAGGTAAAATTTCCCTCCCATAGTTTCTTCGTTATTGCCCCGCACTATTCGCATTCTCTCTTGGCGCATAAACATTTCAAATATTTGCATGAAATGGTATTCTCTTTTTTTTTCTTCGATATGTTTTCGTGCTTCAATTTGCGTCAGACATTTCCATAGCTTCTCCGGCCCCCCCCCCTGGGGCCTAGCGCTGATGTGCTCTGTTTTCCCCGCCACTTGTCCCTTTATTGGATGCTGTCGAAATGCTCTTTGTCCGGTGCTTAATTGAAATGTATCGCTTGTCGCAGCGAGTCAAGATCTCTTGAGGCTCTTATTGATTGGCACCCCTGAGCGAAACAATCGAGAAGGGCAAAGCATATGGGGAGATTGCGTGTGGCAGTGGGTGTCAATGTCAAGGGCGTGTTCCACCACCACACCCCACCCAG